TCTGTCTGCTGGGATGATGTATCCACTTCTGTCTGTTGGGATGATGTATCCACTTCTGTCTGCTTTGATGGTGTATCCACTTCTGTCTGCTGGGATGATGTATCCATTTCTGTCTGTTGGGATGATGTATCCACTTCTGTCTGCTGGGATGATGTATCCACTTCTGTCTGTTGGGATGATGTGTCCACTTCTGTCTGCTGGGATGATGTATTCACTTCTGTCTGTTGGGATGGTGTATCCACTTCTGTCTGTTGGGATGATGTATCCACTTCTGTCTGCTGGGATGATGTATCCACTTCTGTCTGTTGGGATGATGTATCCACTTCTGTCTGCTTTGATGGTGTATCCACTTCTGTCTGCTGGGATGATGTATCCATTTCTGTCTGTTGGGATGATGTATCCACTTCTGTCTGCTGGGATGATGTATTCATTTCTGTCTGCTGGGATGATGTATTCACTTCTGTCTGTTGGGATGATGTATCCACTTCTGTCTGCTGGGATGATGTATCCACTTCTGTCTGCTTTGATGGTGTATCCACTTCTGTCTGCTGGGATGATGTATCCATTTCTGTCTGTTGGGATGATGTATCCACTTCTGTCTGCTGGGATGATGTATCCATTTCTGTCTGTTGGGATGATGTATTCACTTCTGTCTGTTGGGATGATGTATCCACTTCTGTCTGCTGGGATGATGTATTCACTTCTGTCTGTTGGGATGATGTGTTCACTTCTGTCTGCTGGGATGATGTATCCCACGCCCAGGTTCGAAGCAATCCGCCTCCTAAATAATCTTTTTTAGGTCATGCTTAAATACCTAAATCATGTGGAGGGAGGTGTAAAACACGTATAGTAAAACACAATAATATTAACAGCCGTATGACGCCATCTTGCTCCCAGGGTCCAGCTCTGGACTAGGACAAGCTACGGCCGTCCTGTTCGCCCAGAGGGGTTGCGCTGTGGTGGTGACGGGGACCAACGAAAAACGCTTACAAGAAACGCTGGAGAAATGTCAGAAGGCTGGCCTGAAACGGGACCAGGTGAGAACTCTGTCTACCGGACTTACATTTTGAGTCGCTTTCTGGTAGTATTTGGTATTGCAAAAAAAAAATTGCAATATTTTGTTTTCTGTACCCATGTTTGGTGTTCTGACAAGTACTGAACACTGATAGGTGTTTAGCGGTTTGTTTTTATCATCCTTTATTTGTTGGTTTTTTTTATTTTTGTTATCTTTTAAGGAGGTGGGGGTTAAGTGAGACTGGTGGTGAGTGGAGGGGGGGGGGGGGTTCTTTTGGTAGAAAAGTGGCAGATCTCCTCTGGATTCCATTTGCTACTCTCACATCGTACAGAGATATGTTTTTGAAGAAGAAATGGACAACTGCAACTTCGTTGAAAGTGCCCATGTCTAATCAACACTAACCCTAACAAAGAAAAACCTTAACCAAGAAATGTTAGCAAAACCATTATTCTAACCCTTTGAACGAGATTGACCCACATTCTCACTTGGGAACTCACTATAACCATAACCCTGACCTTAAAGCTAGTTATAGCTCTAATTGTAAGCCTAAGCCTTTGCCATTCTACAGCAGAATACATTATACAACTTTGTGTGGTAGACATAGAGGAAGTAGATATTACAGCAGTATACATGATACAACTTTGTGTGGTAGACATAGAGGAAGTAGATCTTACAGCAGTATACATGATACAGCTTTGTGTGGTAGACATAGAGGAAGTAGATCTTACAGCAGTATACATGATACAATGATACAGCTTTGCCTAGGATGTAAACTCACAGGAAGTAGACCTTACAGCAGTATGCATTATATAGCTTTGCCTGGGCGGTAAGCACAAAGGAAGTAGATCCTACTAGAGTATACATGATACACTTTGCCTTGGCGGTAGACACAGAAAAAGTAGATTGCCCAAGGATTACTTCTCTCCCCTCAGACACTGACTTCCTTGATATCCTCCAAAAGAGGGACACGGGCAGAAGGTTTGGAATCTAGGAAGGTGTAAGGGATGCCTCACTGCTATACAGATCTGATGGACAAGTAGTCCTCATATTATAAAGGACAGAAAAGGACTTTTCTATTTATACTTCCAAGCTCTCGCCCTCATCTTTTCTGTGGTCACAACTTTCAGATTTTGACGGTGGCCGGAGACATCACGACTCACAAAACCAGAGAGGAAATCGTCACACGCACATTCGAGACATTTCAACGCATTGACATTCTGGTGAGAAAATACGCGCTGGCCATAGACTTGTTTTCCTAGATTGTTGTCTGTCATGGCCGACGCTCTTTTCTACGGACTGTAGCACACACAAGTGTAAAGACTAATGGGATAGGACTGGTTTATAACATGCGATCAAAGTATGGGGGGAAAGGGGGAGCTGGGAACAAAAAGGGGGGTAGACAATGAGAGAGAGAGAAAGAGAGAGAGAGAGAGAGAGAGAGAGATAGAAAGAGAGAGAGAGGGAGAGAGAGGAGACGGAGGGAGA